TTAAATCTATATTCCTAAATCAGAATTTACACATGTATAACAGTGTCTTTTTTGACTTGAAATGATTGTTCATCATCCATAAGGGGCTGTAAATTGGCAGGGATAATACATCAAGTGCAGTCCTTCATCCACTAGGGGGCGGTTACATACTTGCTTAAGGCAGGAAGTAGCTCTGTTACTCCCTGTTACTGCATGTATTTATTTTTGGTATCTATAATGCTTACAGCAAATATTTTTTATTTCAAAATTTTAAACATCATCTTAGTTACTCTTACTTTATTTCATGCATTTATTTTGAATTAAGTATATTTTCATTTGGTACTTCAAATGAAGCTGTACCTCTTTCTGAAACGGTTTGCTTTGTTTTTGTCTCAAGGTAACAATTGTAGTAGGAGATAATGTCATTTTCTGTGCTGCTAAGATTTTCACTATTATCATTCCTTGGAAAACAAAAAAAGACTGATTTCTGGTTAATCAAAGCAAGGCACAGAGATTTCCTCTGCTTTTTCTCAGTTAAAGTTATGGCGAGTGTTTTCTGAAACACTGTATAGCTGCAGCTTCCTGAGCCTCTTTCTGTTGGCTGATATGCTTCCATTTAGGAACTAGAAATTCTTCATGTACCTAGTAAGATAAATAAGAAGCTGCATATTTTTATCAGTTTCCTTAGCTTGCTGTAATGTCTCTACAAAGTCTATAAATGAGATGAGAGACGTCCATGTATTTTCAGCTTTCTCGGTATTTCTGTGCTGTGTATGCCCTGTGGTTTAAAAGGTTCTTTTTGGCTTTGATTAAAATTCTCATTTTCTCCCTTATTCCAGCTTATTTTAAGAGTGTTGGCAATCCTCACCTAGAAGCTGCAGAGGAGACTATTCAAGCTTTGCAGTCTGACAGAGATCAAGATGTGTCCTTCTTTGCTACCATAAAACTAAGGCAAAACAACATGGACAGTTCTCCCACTGAGAAACAAAACTAGTATGTTCTTCTCCAGTAAGCTCTGAACATCAAAATTATTATTTGCACAGCATTCATGGTTAGTATGAATAAGGTGGACAAACAAAAACTACTTCTTGCCTTCTTGAGTTAAAAAGGGCCTATTGAGAATTGCCATCATCTTCATTCCATGACTACTTTCCATCTACAACTGTTTTTCTACCTTTGTTTTTGAGCAATTCATTTTTGGTTTTTTTTTTCTTTACAAATGTGGCTGGTAACTGCAGGCTAGGTCACAATTTGGTGTTGTCAGTTCTTACACATAGTTTATGTTCTCAGTAATTAGAAATCCCTTTTTTTTAACAAAACAGTTCCATTAGTTGCTTGCTATAAGCTTACAATATTTTCTAAACCTTGCAACTTCATTATAGCAAATTTACCTGAAGATATTATTTTCTCAGTTTTATTGTAGCTTTTGTATTGTTCCAAGTGTTGCATTTTATTTTAACTGGAGGAATTGTATATATGTAAATAGCTCTTAATTTTTAACAAGAAAAGATGAAGAATTCTTTTCTGTATCAGTGGAAAAAAGCTCAATCATTTCATTTTATAAAGTAGTTATTCTGCTGGAGGTAAAGCACGGTTCATTTTTACTTAATATAATGTGATATTTTTCAAAGCACAGAGCTCTGACTTTTTGTGACTTTTCTGTTTATTACTAAACTGTACTCTTACAGGTGTTAACGCTGCTGCTGTTACTGCTGGTGCTTGTAGCTGTAGAGGGACTGTTAATGTCTCAAACTGAAAATTACTCATTCCATCCTAGTGAAGTTCCCTTCAGCTAAAGGATTCAGTTCTTACTACACGTTAGTATCTTTGGAAGGATATCACAGGATTTTATAGACCTAGGCTCTTTTACAGGTCTATTTCATGCCCGCTTCATTTGAAGAGCACTGTGAAGTGGGCCAACGTTCAGATCCCCATCAACCTGTTACTTTTTTCATAAGATGTAGAGGACAGAGGACATCTAAGTTCTGGAGAAACTCCAAATAGTAAGTGTTCAGGGTAAAGGTGTTAATTCAGTTTGCTCTAGGACTTTTGTTTATTATATGGTAAGTATAGAGGCAGGCAACAGGTGTAGGCTACTGAGATCCTTAGGCTTGAGCAGGACGTGCCTTTTGTTGATTTAGGTCTTTCAGAAGACAATATACAGATGGAACAAAATTCCGTTAATCTGACAGCTTCTGACTAGTTTGCAGAATTACAAAGCTGCTAATTCTTGGTGGATGCTGTCTTCTGTTATGCTCCAAACCTACATTACCCCCGTAGGGCCTGAAACAAAAAGAGGTTTGTTTGTTTGGTTTGGTTTGGTAGTTTGTCTTGTTCAAGAAGAAAAAGTTCTCAATACTAGAAAAATGGTTTCATGTAATAAGTTACTTTGTGTACCCATTAATTTGTTGTCAGTAGACCTGTGGAGATATTTCTGTCCTCTTATTTCACTTCTTTAAATTAATTTTTAAGATGTGGCATTGTCTGAGATGCAGAGTCCAGCTGAGGAACCTACTTGCTGTATTTTTTAAGGGTACAGTTTTGTATCAGTTTGTCTAACTAGTCTTGTATTATAATGTACAGTATTTGTAATAAATTGTTTTCTTGTGAGTTCGCAATACTTTTGGAAAATAAAGGCAGAAATGTACCATTGCCATCACTGCTCTTACAGAAACAGCATAAGCTGTAAATTCTGCAGCATTCTACATTTAATTTTTTACAATTTTTTTAAATAATTTTAACTGGTTCTACAGACTTTTTATGATTGCAATTTCTTAACAAAGATTATTCAAGTTAATTTTTTCTAGTTCTAATATCTTTTTCTAATGCTGGCTTTATATTGGTATTTTATAACAGTTCAAATTTTCTAAGGCCTTTCTGAGAAGGTTTTACTTCTGTTTTTCTATTACCAGCTCACTAAATTTCTCAGCACTGATCAAAGTTTTTGTGTGTATATGTAAGTATGTTTGTAATGTACATGAAGTTGAGCATTGACACAGCCCAGGCTTCTGTTTGTTAGATAATGTTTTGTCACCTTGCAATAATCCACTGAAAAACACACAAGCTTTTGTGTTTTGGCATGTTTGATTAGTGTTCATTAAGAATTTTTAGTTAGAATATATATATACCTATATATAAAAACAATAAGCCACCATCTGTAGAAGTTCACTGAAAACTAAATACAGATCTTTGTTTTTGACAGTATTTAATACCTCTCTAGCTCTGAAAATCACATCTGTTCCAAATGGTAAGATTTCATTTGGAGCATTCAGAAATTTGTTTGAACTCTACAGTTGCATGCACTAATGGAGGACACCATAGCTTTTGGGAGTGTCTTTTTTTCTTTTTGTATGACAAAGTGCAGGTCTGTTGGTGCAGGTTTACCCTTTACAAGGTTTGCCTTTTTGTTGCAATTTTCTACTAGAAATGATTTCAGCATGACTAAAGACTGCACTTTACATCTTGTTCTGGACAAATGTATACAGTGATGAGTAAAGCTGTGTGTTAGCATACAATCCTCTGGGTTTAAATTATGCAAAAAAAAAAAAAAGTATGTATTTTAAAAGCCAGACGAAACAAAGTTAGTTAATCCACTTCCACAAAAACAGTATGAATATCACTTTAAAGCATTTCTAGCTAAGGAACATGAAAATAATGTTAGTGGGTGCAATATTGCTTGACTGTTACAGGAAATCATCAAGCACTTGTAATCCAAAGCATGTTAGTCATGTTGCTTGGAATTCAAACTCACTGGTATCTTATGTATGATGTACACTTGGCATCTGTGGGGATGCTGCCCTAGTGGCAGCTGTGACTGTACACAGTGTTGTTTAGAACCCAGTTAATGGAGACACTCTGGAAGTGTCATTCATTTGTCAGAATAGAGAATCTATGTAACTTTCTATTTGTATTTATCTCAATAAAATCTGTGACTGTTTTATAAATCAGCTTGTAACTGACTTTTGTCATTAGTGGGATAAGAATCTGTTCCTTTGGTTACTGAAAATCTCCCTGTCATAAGTGCAATCATCTCTTTAAACCAGGGTCTTTTGGAATTCATCATGATGTGTAATAAAAAATCCATTAGATGTCCGTAGATTTGAAGTAGCTTTCAGCACTTACTCCTCAAAGCAAGCATGCCAGCAGTACTTTGAAACTTAGATTCTGTCAGAACTGGAGCTCTAACAAGATATATTTTAAGTGGAAAAGACTTGTGGATGTGTTGGATGAGAGTGGCATTCAGATCTTTATATTATATCCTTCCAAATTTTAGTTAGGAGCAACATTCTGGACTTTTCAGAGTGATGCCCTCAGACATCCTGCATAAATGAATGATTGTGAAGCTTTTAGACTTTGAGGGGGGAATGGGTAATCAGCACCTGGCTGGTTGGATTTGCTTCTCATATGAGGAGTCTTCTGTATGTTCTGCTGCTGCAGTCATCCTTTTGTTTGTTTCAGACGCTGGCTGTTCCATCTCTTGCTCTGGAGCTTTTGCCAACTGTTGCAAAAGAACATAGGATCTCTCCCCTTCTTTTTTCTCTGCAAGATTTAACATGATGTAAAAATGAAGAGAATGAGCAGCCCCTTGCACCTCCTAGTGAAGCGTTTCCTCACTTTGCATAAAGACAGGAGAAGCCTGTGTAGCAAAAGTGGAAACACAATGGAACAGCCATGTGCTCTTTTTAACACACATCAAGTTAATGTGTATATTGTGACCTGAACTTGTCCAAAGAAAACAGGAGTGTGAAACATGGGTGGCTCAGATGTGTACTTTAGTAATTAGTTTCTTTACTGCTCATCTTCCAAGTAAGTTTGTCATCCTAGTGAAAATCAAGAGGAAAAAGTCCTTCTGCTACCATCTTGGTGTGTTATTTTCTGTAAAGTTCTCTTGCTTTGTTGGTACAGGCTATTACATCACACAAGCAGGTTGTACTTTTGTGATGTCAGTTTATGCTGCATGGATACTGTAACGTGCTAATGATACACAGGGCTGTCCATCCTTAGTGACATCTATCCTGATGACAGGGGGAGCGCCGAGAGAAGGGAGGAATTACGACTGGTATTAGGCCCCTGTCCTTATAATGGTACCAACCTTTGTTAAGAGGAAAGCCTCAAGCCTTCCCAGTCAGTAACAACTGCATGCCCAGGTCTTCCTTGCCTCTGCAGACCTTTAGCTTCCAGCTCAGGCTAGCTGAAACTAATGAGATATTTTCACTACCTCAGTGCCAGAATGACTTGACGCTGAAGCAGCTCAAGTCTGATTTGGAATTATTGACTGGGATCCCCTTTCATTTCCAGCGGCTTCACTACCTGGATGAAAGTAAGAACCTGTAACCTCTGTTGTTCCTGAAGGTTACTGACAGGTTATTGTTCACTCACCATCTATTTATTATAGTTTACATTTCTTTACAGTCTCTGAGGGTACGTTGACTTGCTTTTATTTTATAACTCCCTTCAGTAGATCTGCCAGACGATTCTACGCTTATGGACAATGATTTTGTCCCTGGTGGAACAATTACAATGCGCATCTGGAGGCAAGATGGCTGGGGGCATCTCGTGGCAGCTGCTGCCAAAGGAGACACGATGAAGGTTGATTCCATTGCTTCTGTGAACGGGTGGGGTGCTGTCTGTAGAAATGCTGAAAGTGTGTTGCTGAAGGCTTTAAGTGCTTTTATCAAGGAAGAGTTCATAGGGAAAAGAGTAGGGAATTCCTTAATGGAAGAGACAATTGTTAAGTAGGTTAGTTGTATTTACTGCAACAGTTAACAGTGACAACAATGAAGCAGCAATCCAAAACCAAGAGGAGAAGTCAATCCTTAATGCAGGCTGTTCTGTTCAGAAATGTCTTTTTGCTGTTATTAGTGGACAGCATATACAGTTGAAGCCCAGTTTTTTCTCTGTCTTGGGACTTTTTGTAGGACTAATCTATGCTCATGGTTTACTTTTCTTGTTCCTGTTACCTGAAAAATGTTGGGGTTTTTTGTTGAGCTGCCTGCTGTTTTATTCTTTTGATGTGTTCTGTAGAAAAGATACTTCATTCCAGTACTTTTCATACAGGTAAGAGAGATGACACATAGTACGCAGGAAAGGCCTTTTTCTTAGGTATCTTACACAATCATGAGAGGGCTTTGGATTATTTCTTTTTAGGCATTCAAGAGAGTCTGAGTGACTTGTTTGAATTATGAAATTGAGGCAGAAACTCTTTCTTAATCCATCCTTCTCTGGCAATATTGGCCACGGAGGAAGAATGGGAACTGATGCTCTTTCAAAGCACATAGCAGATTCAAAATCAAGGATCAGAAAACACTTTGCATCCCTTTCGCTTTACCTTCTGTCTTCAGTTTGCAATGCTGTCAAGCCTGATTAGTAAGACAGCTTTAATTTTTTTGCAGAACAAATAGTTTCGGTGGCTCTCTGATAGAGGACATGCTGCTTTCTTGATTTAGGACTGAAGTGTTGTCTCAGCAGAAATGCGAGGTACTCTGAGATGTACTGTAAACCTTTAGGCCCAAACAGATGTGATCACGAAATATCCTTTGGTGCCTTTCATAACGAACCATTATCGCTGTTGTCCTGGCCAAATTCCAACTTGGCTAGTTACATTCTGTTCCTCTGTATCTCCCCAACCATTGCCAATTGATGCTGCAGGATTCTTCACTTGCTGTCATTAACTGTTGTGTAGTGTTGCACTTCATTGGTAAGCAGCTGTTCTACTTTATGCCACAAACTGCTTCCATTTTGCCATTGGGCAAAGTGTTTTTTTTTCTCCATGTTTTAAGTTCCTTGTGTATTAGAACCTTCCCTCTCAGTGTGGAGGCAAACAGATGTGCCAAAGGCAGTGGTTTTCTTTTGAAATGAAAGACGTATTAAGAGCCCACAAGAAAGTTGTTGATAATGATAAAATCTCTCAAATATATTTAATAGAAAAAAATCATTGAAGAAATAACTGTGCAGTTGCTCTATTAATGTGCTTCCTCTTACTAGGTGAGAAGGCCATGGTGCAGTGTTAAAGATTTAGTCCAGCTTGGAATTGCGGTCTCTAGAATAACAGCAGTATGAGGCACCTGAGAATTGTGCCTAAAAGGCTTTTTGGCAACACTTGAGATATGTTTTGGCTTTATTGTCAAAAAACCCCACAGACCACCTTATGGAAATAAAATGGTACAAGACTGTATCCTGAAGCAGCTAATGTTTGAGTTGTCCAGAAGAATTAAGGCCTAAAGTCTTAATTAGATCCTAAGGAAGTTGTGCTTACATGGCAAGTGTCTCCTGTCTTTGTTGTCCTCTCCCAGAAACTTAGAGCCTGGTCAGGTTCCAGTGAACTTGAAGAATTTGTGAAGTCAGTAACTACATGCAAAAAGAAAACCTAACTTAATGTTCCCTTTAAGGGATGGCTATGAAAAAACGTCATTAGGTAGTGGCAAATCAAGATAGGGCAGCGCAACATAAAACAAGCATGTGCTATTTAGCTTAACTTAGAATGATTTATGCAGTATGCTCTACGTGCAGAAAGGAGACTGTTGATATTTTTGAAGAATAAGGCCATCTTTGTGAAAGAGATTAAAAATTTCTGTTTATTCTGCAGCTGGCCCAGCTGGGAGTTACAGAAGAGTATGCTGGCACCTCTCCATATGCAAAGATTCTGGGACCAGAGCAGAAAAAGGAGTGGGTAGCACACCGTGCTTTTGTGGCTCTGTTTGTTGCCAGCCACAGAGGTCATGTTAACACTGTGAAGTTTCTCCTGAGTCATGGTAATGTTATGAGATAGACTTATTCTCTGGCTGTTTTTGCATAGCATACCACCTTCCTGCTTACCAAGTTACAGAATTTTACCTGAACTATCTCTCAACTTTTGTATTTGAGTTGGAGAATGCATTTGGCCCATCAGCTCTGGTGTAGACTTGAAAACAATCAAAACTGCTCTTGCTAATTGTAACAAGTTTGATATTAAAGTAGGTAAATTCAGAATGGAAAACAGGAATGAGAATTATTTCCTTGCTTTTGAGCCTCAGTTATTTCTATTTTCTTGTTATCTAAAGATGTTCAGTTATTCTTGATCTTGTGCAGTGCTTTACAGTCACTGCAATACAAGCAGAGTTGCACATTCTGCTTCCATGGCTCTGACATTTGGGCTCTTTGCCCTTCCTGAGAAATATGCATTGTCCAGCAGTGCTCCTTCCAGCCCAGGTTCAGCCTGGCCCTGTTAAATCTTGTTGAGGGATGGTGCTGTTTTCTCCCAGTGAGAACTCCCAGTGCAGGAGTAATGGCAGCGCTCAGTCGGAATGTGACTTTGTGTGAGCTCTGGCCCGCTGTCCCTTTCTATGAGTCCTGTCACACTCATGCTGTGTTTCTTTGCAGGTGCAGATGTGCACTCTAAAACTCCACTGGGAAGGACTGCGCTGCACGTAGCTGCTATCATGGGCCACTGTGAGTGCATTGAGCTGCTGGTGAGCTGTGGGGCACGAGCCCTCGACCCAGATTGTGAGGGGCAAACCGCAGTGAAGTTGGCCCAGCTCTGGGGCCAGAAGCAGAGCGAGCATGCCCTGATGCACGTCCCACGGCCGCCGGCTGGAGCCAGGCCTTGATGCAGGGATGGAGCTGTGCTGCAGGCTCATGGCCAGCCGGCCTGATATACACAGGCTGACCTGGTTCTGGCAGATCTGAGGACAGTCAGTAACTTTCCCAATGACACGCACTTTAAATAGAGGTCACTGCGTACCTTTTGTGGGGTTTTGTTGTGAAATAATGTCATATTCTGATGATGCTGCAGCTAAGGTGACAGCTAGCTCAACCACATAACCCTTGAGCGTGTGCTTTATTTGTAATCTAAGCTTTTTGGTAGTGCTGCTTTAATTTCTTTGAGCTTAAAGTTGCCTTATTTTTTTTAATCCGTGGATGTTGAGATCGGGAGGTGGCAGTGGGGCCGGCAGGGGGTGTCCCAGCACTGCACTCAACTGCAGGCAGCAGTGCTGCATCCTCCCCTGACGGTGGTGCTCCGACTGTTTCCAGAATAAGGGGATAAATATCCCTGACTTCTTCCTGGGAATCGAGTACTAAAGCAAGGTTCAAAACCTTAGCCTATGGAAGCCAGTTACTGTGGGAGAGCATATAGCAAACTTTATATGTGCTGGCATTGGTCTGAACAAACACAGAATTCCTGCTGTAACGATGCCTTTTAGTACTCTTTAAAAAAGGCTCACTCTCTGGTTTCCTGTTGGTTATTAGTTCTACCTGATTCAAACATACAGATGTTGGGTAAATGCAATGACAAGATCACGTTCTATCAAAGTGATCAATGGACAAGATATGAAACGGTGTTTGATGTCGTGCTGAGCAGTTGGATATTGTAAGCAGGATTATAAGAGAAATCTTTAGAAATCCGTTATTCTTTCTTTGTGTTGTCTGTCTAGACTGTCTGATCTGTGCTTAGGCTTCTAGAAAGGAGGAGAGGATTTGTAGTTGCTTTTAGCCATTATGCAGCATAACTTGAGAGAACATAAGAATGTGATACACAGAGAACAGAGTGTCTTCAGGATGAGAATTCCAGAAATGGTAGAAAATTATGTAGTATACAGTCATGGAGGGCAGACAGCAAGTATTGCTTGCTGGTAGCTGGAAACTCACCCTCAGAAAAGAAAAAGAAAAAAAAAAAAGAAAGAAATCCTAAATGTGTTGTGGCTGGGAAATGAGTGTACACTGATCCAAAATTTGATGGGGTAAATCAGAAGAGAATTAACATCTGGACAAGGCCAGCACTGGAACAGTGTGTGCTCATGTTTTTCTTAGATGAGAAAGGAGAACCCAAGCTAAAGAGAGATTAACCAGAGGAAAGGAGGGAGTTTGTCCTCAGGAGAGGAGCAGGAACACGAGGCATTCTGTGTTGTGGTTGTTACTTCCTCTTCTCTGTGCTACAGTACAGAAGGAGGATCAGTCTTCAGAAGAATTTAGTGAGGACTTATTAATGAGCTTTGGGATTCTCAGATAAAGGAAGAGGCTGACTGTTAAGAAGAAGAAAAGGTATTAAAATGCTTTGGGTTTAATTTGGCCCAAGGCAGGACAAATGTCACAACTGTCTCCTAGTATTAGGAAATCCAAAGCAACTCTTTTGGAAGGACTGTTGGTGGCCCTGCATGTGGCAGGAGGGTTGGAGATTCATGATCCTTGAGGTCCCTTCCAACCCTGGCCATTCTGTGATTCTGTGACTGTGACTCCCATGGATGTAAAAACCAAAGTTAAATAAAGATGACAAGCACAGCAATAATTCAACACACTTTCTTAGTGTTACAGCTCACCCCTTCCATTGCCTGGGCAGAGACCAGTACTGTTGCTCATAGCCATCACAATGACTGCTGCTCCCTCAGAGCCTTGAGAAAGCCAGAGCTCAGCAAGCCTGACACTGGCTGCTGCTACTTAGAGGTAGTTGCTGTAGCCAGTGACAGCCTTGGATATCTATAGACTGTCACCTTTGATAAATCTGAATAATGATATGTTCCCCAAACATTTCCCCTTCCTCTAGAAACATTTCTAACTTTAACTGAGTTATACCTGTTCCATATTTGTCTGTAGTGCAGAATGTCGTGGCAATCATGACATTCATTTTTCAAAGTGAATCAAATGAATAGAAATTGTTAAATGCTGGTGTACAATATAGCTCATAAAACCAACATCAGGAAAGTTGCACTGATTGGGCTCTTAGATGCTGTTTTCCTTTTGCTTGGGAAACAGAATTGTAGTCAGCTTGCAATCTCCTCAACATTGTTCATGGAGGAAGCAGACAAAAAATACCAATGGCTGCAATTTAGTTAATTTTATGCTAAACACAATCAGCATTCAAACTGGGAGTTACCAAGTGGAAATGCATTGATAGGGAAGCCAAAATATTCTCTGTGAGTAGATGGTGAAATATTAAAATCTCAAATAGACTCCTGAAAAGCCCATAACTGTAGGGCGGAGAAGATGCAAAGGTGAAGTTTGGCACTGCTGGAATCAACAGGAGGTCAGTGAGGTCACGAATTAATCCTCAACACGGGAGGTCATGACTCTGTGTGGTACGAACCAGTGCAGCACTGTTATAACATAAGGCCTTGTAACAACAAAGACAACGATTAAAAAAAAAAAAGAGATGAAAAAAAAAAGGTTGCTAAGGATCTGTCTGAGTCAGGACTTATATAGGAATGCTTTCTCTGCCATCAGCTTTCAAATTTGCAGCATGCCTTGCATTGCAACCACCAACTGTGTTCAAAGACAACCAGAATTTGGTTGTGAACTTTCTGAGGATCGTGTTGACCATTAATGTTTAGAAAGGATAGCGGTTCACAGAAGGAAGCCAAAACCTATATACTTTCTAGCATGCTTCCAACATCTATTATGCTTCCAGCATCCCGTTTAGGTTGGTTTGATGCCTGACCTACACTGCAATTGAGGTTAGTGCTTTGCTTTTCCTTGCAGTTCTCCATATGGTATTCTGTTTGCAAGATTTGCTTGACATAACTGTCTGGTATGGTTTGTTGGTGTTTTGCTAGGATTCCTGTGTGTTCAGAAGCTAATAAAGGAACTGTCAACTCAAAGGCCTGTCTTAAAATGTGGCCCTACTGGCTTGGGATAAGAAACGCAGAGATTCCTCTTCCAAGCCTCTTCTGTGGAATTCGTGATGCTATTTCAATTCCTTTGGTTTCCAGTAACAAAAAAAACCAATTGGGGTCAAGCAGAAGTCAAGGTATAAAAATTAATCACTGTGAGCTTCCTTACTTGTAAGCCATATGTTAAAGGAATGAGCAGTTCTTATATCTCTTGATGAGTGTTTGTATGCATCGTTCAAATGTACATGTGTTTGAATTCCAGCCTGTACTGATGGAATTGGTCTATGATAATAAACAGGATAAATAAATCAGATGAAAGTAAAAGCACTGATGTGCTTGTAGAATTGTGCGGGATTAAGTTCAGTACTATGACCTTGAGCAGGATGCAATTTCAAAAGTGCCTTAATTATGATGATGACATAAAATAAGGCTGAGGAAGCTGGAAAGGCAGAGAGATAGGAGGCAGAGGGACAAAACAAACTCATTTGGAATGACTTGGTTTTAGCAGGATTACAGGCTGATAAGTGGCTTATGTGGCTTATGGTAGGGAAGTGCAGGGCCAGGGACCATAGGCAGTCACACTCCAATTGGAGTGGAGTAGTGTGCAGTAGAGATCAGAGCGTGGCTAAAAGGGCACATGCAGCACTGGGGGAAATCGTTTCTAAGGTGAATTGCTGCCTTGGTGCTTCTTTTCTGACGGAGATCTGCTGTACAGCTGTGCTTGCTGCACAGCTGAGGAACTGCTGGCCCTGTTGAATTCAACCCCCATCCAGCAAAGCACCTCCTCCTGTGATTACACTACTGTAATAACAGTGATGAAAGAAAGGTGACTTCTGTGTACTTGTGCCCCATGTTTCTATTATCCATTGGTTCTCCATAGCACATGGCAGCGTTAGAGCCGGCATCCTTGGAGTTCCTTTGTCGGTTCGAGCTGTTGTCACGCGCCTCGCTAATACCCTCTAGTAATTTTCTTATTCACATGCACACTTAATGTCCTTAGTCATTAGACTGAAAAATGTTAACCTTGTCATAGTTAGTGACTGGAAGCAGAAAAGTCCATTTAGTTCTCAGGGGAATGAATTCTAATTTTCTGCTTGTCAGAAAGTGACATTTTACATATTTTTCTCTCCTTTTTTTTTTTTTATTCCCACCATTTTAGTGCTGAGTTTAAATGTGTGTGTCATAGGAATAGACTTTTTGTCTCTGCTAAACACCCCAAAAGGCTTGGCAGGTATCCAATGCATGACCCTCTTGACCAACAGCTACTGCTTGAGCTTGTCTCGTGCACTGAGGAGAATGGGAGGTGAGAGTGAAAAGTTAGCAAGGGGTTATTGCTGAGGGCATATTAATGTTGCATGTCAGAATGCATATTTTTTATCCTGGAAAATATGGATGAAAAGCAGCTCATCTGGAATAAAATATCCAGTGAAGAAACAAATTATGTTAATCAAGCAGGCTCGTACTAATGTTAGTCATTAAGATGTGACACCTTCTATATAATGTCACAGGCTGCTGCAACCCTTTGAGAAGAGTGCTGGTTTAAAGGCAGCTTGTCTGTGGTTATTGAGTTCACTGTTCTGTGAAAGGGAATAACTTGTGTCTTGAAAAATAGATGGCACTTATGGCAAAGAGAAATCATCCTCCCACAGATTACAGCTGTTCTTTGCATTGTTGTGTTGGTGGTCTTATCTCATCAGTGGATATTTTCTGTGGTTTTTTTTGGTTGTCGTTTTGTTGTTTTGTTGTTTTGTTTTTGATACATTTCCATAAAGCTGTTCTGGGGAGAACATTTTGTGCTGGGAGCTGGATGTATTTTGAGAAAGAGACACCACTACAAAGAACTCGGAGTCTAAATTGAAAAGATGGATGAAGTGAAAATGAGGGATGGTTGTTTTGCTTTTTACAGATGGGAACTGAAGCAGGAGATTGTGACTGTTGTGGCCAAAGTCACCCTGGGAGTCCACAGAACTGCATCCTGATCTTTGAAATCCAATTTCAGTATCTTTATCACGTATTGCCTTTGTGTTCCCTTGCTGCTGAATCTAGATTAAATATGCATGTGTAGGGAAATAAACATGTTCTACATGTGTTTAGCCAAATTCTGACCTTAGGGACATGAAACAAGCTCTCACTGGTGTAGATAGGAGTGCTTTCATGAGTGGATTCAACCCAAGGAATACAAAACAGCATTGGCATTTAGTTCATGAAACATCCTCTTGTAGGCCTGAGGTGGAACTGGTGTTTTAACCAACTTCAGCCTCTCTGTGAGGTCTGGAGAAGGCATGCCAGGCCAGAGGGTAACAAAACCGTGGGGCTGATTGTCTGACTCCTATATTGCCTGCACACCAGATACTGATTAATGATTTGCATGTAAGAAATTAATTAATGGATGCTGTAGGTTTTTGAGGGAGTAGTGTGTACTTATCTAATTCTTCATATAAAAAAAAAAAAAGGGGGGGGGGGAAGGGAAATGGCCAGCACAGAGCCCTTCCTCAAAACTGCATAAAACAGCATGAGATTTTGGCTCACTGCGTGTGATTGTTTCTTCTAAAGTTAAATAGCACTGATCCAAGGTGAAGGAGTTGGTCCTAAGCTCTCTGTTGCTTATAGCCAGCCCACAAAAATGTTTATTTTCTCAGTGCCGTACCTTAAACAAATAGGAGCACAAGCAAATATGGTGAAATGTTTTGCTCTGAACCATGGCGAGAGCTGTTGAAATTGGTCTTTTCCCATTTGCATACAAGTAACTCAAATGATTAATGGCATTGCTTCCAGAAGAACAAACATCAGCAGCGCTCCCTGCAAGCCAAGTAGTTGTCTGGTTGGCCCTGCAGTGAGTTACCTTTCCCCTGACAAAGTGCCCTGGTCAGAGCCATCCAGAAGTGCAAGCTGAAGAAAATTCTACAATCTTGAAGAGTCAGGGGCCATCTCCTGGTGTTCTGCGCTGCAGAGAAAGAGCTGGAAGTGTTGGAGCTCTGTTCTTCCTCCCAGTCCCTGACCCAGCAGCACCGCTGCTGCACAGACCCACCGTGCCCTGTGACAGAGGCGCACAGCCAGCCTGACTTCTCGGGACGTGGGCTTAAGCAAGAAGGGCAGTTTTGTTACCCCTGCTTATGTCTCACCAGAGAAGTGACTGCAGCCACGGCAGAAGCAATGTGCAGACGATGCCCCTCTGCTCAGGTGAATGGATAAGCAGTGTCCCTTCCTGCTTTTTCTCCAGCCCATGAGGCATTGGCATTGCTCAGTAACTATACCTTGGCTTCTGCCAAGGGACTGTGAACATACGGGGTTTGTTCCTTCAGCAAGCGTAGTGCTGAGATGGAAGCTGCGCTGCACATAATGGGGAGCACAAGAAATGGCTGTGGATTTTATTTAAACAAAGGATAGGAGTGTGCTCTGGCAATAAGAGCATAATGTCTGCTTGGTTTTTCCAGACAAGGACAGTGCCTTGCTGGTTGGTGGTTGGTTTTTTTTTGGTTTTTTTTCCCCGCCCCGGGCGCCCCCCCCCCGCCTCTTGTTTGTGTTTTTGCTCCAGCTTTTAAGGATGAGAATGTTGTGTCTGACGCATGTCAGCAAGCAGAGGAGATTTACTAGCATGGCTGGGTTTGTCTTGCTCCCCTGTGATGAATAAAAGCATTAACCGTCTCTCACTTCAGGAGGAGAAGGGGGGCTGTTTTCAGCCTGCGAGAAGTGAGAAGGCTTTGTCAGGTTTGGGTCAGGCAGAGCACAGGGCTGTGTGCTGCTCAGAGGGCGGACGAGCCGGGTGTCACACGGCAGCCTGCAGGCACCGCTCGGAAAGGCAAGAGACAGCAGTGTGCGTGTGTGCGTGCAGGGCGTGGGGGCAAGGCTGCCATGTCCTGTTTTGGTGCGAGGCTGTTTGCTACAACAGCGATCCCTCTGGAAAGCAGTCTCAGAAAGATGGACTGAATAAAGAGCAGAGAGAGAAATGGCCATTTCCATACTCCCTGTGCAGTTGTCTGAACTGTTACAAGCATTGCTTAACAAGATGCCTGCCCGGTTGTGATCCAGCTCTGTACATATGAGGCCTGATCCTGTGGTCAAATGTATCCAGTGGAGCTGTGTAACTACATGACTGAAAAGGATGGGGGGGAGAAGAAAAGATCCTCTTTGTTCTGTTTATTTCTGTTTCTTCTGCAATGTGGCTGCATCTATTTTGATGCTTTGAAATTCTCAGGTTTATTTCAATCGTGGCTTCTTTAGTGAATCACACGATGCATGGAGGAGAAAGATATGAAGGGAATCGCCAAATTTAAAGTTGGGTCGAGCTTTGGCAACGTACCTGAGAGTAGAAGATGTAGTTTATATTAATAAAAATGTGTTGTACTGACTCATCACTTCGTAATTTCAGCCATATTTCAATATAGCTGTGTAGCTGTGCAGTACATGTCACCAAAAGAGGCTGCAGAACCTTATCATGTGATAAGGAAACAGTAGAGCTTGGAATAGAGACCTGGTCAGCTGGCTCACATTAAAGTCTATAAATATGTGTTATCTGTTATTATAATTTTCTTAGTGATGCAATGCTTTCTTCCATTCCAAAACAGTTAAGTGAAACTGGAGAATCCCTAAAGTTGTAGTTTGATTCATTATTGTAATAAGCATGCAATGGCCGTGGGTTTAAAGATCCTTCAACACAAAATGAATTCAGACCAAACCCTCATAACTTCAGCTGGGTAAACTTCAACACAAACACAGAATGGCCCGGGTTGGAAGGGACCTCAAGGATCACGAATCTCCAACCCCCTGCCACAGACAGGGCCACCAACCTCCCTATGTAATACTAGGCCAGCTTGCCCAGGGCCATGGGAGAAGTGTAGGAAAAACTGAGAGTTTTCTCAGTTTGTTGACAGGAAATGCAGAACTTTTAGGTAATTCCTACTGAAAAGAAGGAATTTTTCACTCCTGGGTGAAAAACAATTTTTTCTCAGTTGTCCTCAAAATCCGTAGCTTTTTGTTACCATTGCAAATCAGGAACAATAAACTTAAAAGATATAAAAGGCAGGACAGGTAATTATCCTCAGAGCTACTCTCTAAAGAAGAAATTTTAATGCACTGTGCTCTAATGTACCGAGTATAACGTAACATGTAACCTTGCTTAGGTATTTCCAAAGAGGAGGAAGCGTGCTTACTTCAAGTTCAGTTTTTTCAGAT